CTCTGAGGTGGGGAGAGAGGGGAAGGGGCCACAGCCAGGCTGTGCCTCTCAGTCCCCCCTCCCCTCAAACCTTCCCCCGCAGCCAACCCAGGCCTCTTGTCCTCCCTCTGGCCTGCAGAGAAGGGCTGGGGCAACGCAGGCCGCATTCTGACCGAATGGGGTTTGCAGCAGGGAGGGAGGAGGCCGGGGGGCTGACAGGAGAGGGACTGCGGGACGCAGAGTGTCATGGAATCCCTCTGTCGTCCTGCAGGCAAAGGGTATTTTTTAAGAGAGAGAGAGAATTTGGAGCGTGTGTGTGTGATTGGTTGTGTGATTTCGCTGGTACCAATGTTCCCTGTAAGATGAGCTCGTAGGTGGCCATCCAGAAGCGATCCAGGTGCTGCCCAGCTGATTAGCAGAGCACCCACCGCTGGCAGCAGGTGCGTCTATTGGTGGGGCACACCCACGCATGCCTCAGTGCACATAATAAAATTTATTCCACACATGGATGGGAAAAAACGAGAGGGACATTTGGCTGACCGACTCTCTTCCCCCACCCCCTCCCGGGTGTTTTTGGGCAAGGTGTGTACTGCAAAGGCTCTGACCCCCTGGCCTGTCTTGCTCTCTTTCAGCTGGTGTCCCCGGAGAAGAGCCCAAGTGCAACATCTGCCTGGGAAAGACCTCGGGACCCCTGAACGAAATCCTCATCTGTGGCAAATGCGGGCTAGGTAAGAGCGTCCCCAGGCGGAGTGTGATGCCCCCTGGAGGGCAGAAAGCGCTGGTGCAGATTCTGATGCTCCTGGCCAACTGCAGAGGGACCCTGGATCCGTGCTGCAGAGGGACCCTGGATCCGTGCTGCAGAGGGACCCTGGGTCCGTGCTGCAGAGGGACCCAGGATCCTTGCTTCCCCCTGCAGAGCCCGGCCGCCTGGCTTCCCCCTTTCTGGCTGACCAGTAGCTTTCAGTTTTGTGTTTTCCGGCACTGAAGGGCCACAGTGTCGCTGCTCGGGAGGGCAGGAGAAAACGACCTGGGCACCCCTTATCTGAGAGCAGCAGACCAAGATGGAGGAGTCCGGGGGCCACTCCTCCCCTGTTACACTCAGCTGATACTTGCCCGGAGTTGATTCCTAAGGGATCCCTGGTGAACAGAGCAGGCTCTTTCCCCCAGGCGGGACCAAGTGGACGCACAGTGGAAACAGGGCAGTCCCTGAAAGCCTGGTGTCCAACATGGCCACTCCGGCAGAATTCCCATTGGCTTTGGGGGTCCCAGGATGGCTGCCGGCTGGGTTAGAACGGCAGAAAGCAGCCGGGGAGTGACGTGACCTTTGGCTGGGGGCTGAGTGCGTGTGTGTTTGCTCTTTCCCCCAGGCGGGACCAAGTGGACGCACAGTGGAAACAGGGCAGTCCCTGAAAGCCTGGTGTCCAACATGGCCACTCCGGCAGAATTCCCATTGGCTTTGGGGGTCCCAGGATGGCTGCCGGCTGGGTTAGAACGGCAGAAAGCAGCCGGGGAGTGACGTGACCTTTGGCTGGGGGCTGAGTGCGTGTGTGTTTAGGGCCGCGGTGTCCGACCAGTTCTGTAGCGAACTAGCCACACTCCACTGGCCAAATAGCCCCGTGTGGCTAGCGTGTTGGCAACCCCCGGTT